GGCAAAGCTCTTAAACTTGCTGAGAACTACACTTTCAAGTTGACTGACATGCTCCATGAGTGTTTCCCGGTAGCTGTGGTGGGCCAAACATCCAAAAGGATTTCACCCGCTGTCATTCGTGCCTGTCCTGCTAAAATGGCTGACTCGCGATATGCCACAGCACACCCGGCCAGCCGCGAGGCTGCGCTCGAAGCCACACGTGAAGCGAACAAAGAAGCATGGTTACTCCTTCACAATCGCATTCTGTTTGCATTGGCCATGCGCAATGAAGGTGAGACTCAGGTTTCTCAGGACCTCGTGGATGGATTGATGACCGAATGGACACCGGCCTCGGCCCTGAGGTTCTACGGTCGAGAAGATCCGCTTGCAGAATATCTTAGCTTCTGCTTTTTGCCAAAAGAGTCCCACATCGAAAAGATCATGTTGCCAGAGATGCCTGTCAATGAAGTAATCTGGATCTTAGTCTCTGACTCGTCATGTGCACTGATCACAGGGCGTAGGAAAACACTTAAGGAATACGATCTGTCTGAGCATTTTCAGCAGCGTAAACCTAAGTATGTGACTGAGTTCATCCATGAGATGCTTTGGGGCAAAACTCTGCAGAAGTTGGTCAAACGTGGGATTGAATTGGCCGCGGACGCCCGCGAGCGCTATCCTGATGCCCGCATCAACCTGCATTTGTCCTGGTTCGGAAATGAATTGGTAGGTCAGGATGGGATTGCCCAAAATCCAAATTGGCCATACGACGGTCCCAACGGGCACTGGCCCACGATCATGGACGATTGTGAGCGCCACTTGACTTGGTTTGTCACCAAAGCCCGTGAATTGGATTTGCAATCGGCCGGTCTCACCACCGCGCCCTGGTCTGCTGACTATGGCATTCATCCGATTTTTGACCAGTTCTTTGAAACATTGGAACCAAAGTTCAAAGCCTTGACCAGCAGCCTGCAAGGGCTTGCCAATCCGAAGTTTCCATGGTTGCGTGCAAAGGGGTACGCCGATGCAATGGAATTCAGAGACCAGTGGCATTTCGCCAACTCTGAAGAAAATCGCACACGGCTCTCTGCGTACTGGACGGCAACTTTGTTTGCCATTGACTGTGGATGGCGGGTTGGCCGAATAGGGCTTGAGCTTGCTCAATGTGGCCAGGAAACATGGGATGATTTGCGAAGGAACATGAGCGCCGTCCTCGACGAGCTGCCAAGATCCTATCAGGAGACATGTGCAAACATCACCAAGTTGCTTTTTGGAGAGTCCCGACGACATATCACTCCGACGGGCAGGTCATTCACCAGGGAAGACGTCGAAGCTCAACAACCTGACACAGAGGACTACATCGACGTCAAGACGATGCCTTCTGGAACCTTTGCTGAGCCTCCCAAGGATGATCCTCCAAACACGGCCGCCGGCGACGGCGAGCCCGCTGCACCCAGCAGAGCAACAATCCTGGTCCAAACAGCTGAGGTCTTGTTGAAGTCGCGATCGAAAGCAGCGCCGATCCCGTTGGCCGAGTCTGCAGATGACACAAAAGCCACTTCCAGCCAGTACCGGCCGCAGGCAACTGCGCGCTTGGAGGAGCATGCATCAGGTCACGTGACAGCATATTGGATGGAGGAGCATTTGCCCGAATACCAATACACAATGGTGACCAATGCAGACGGGGACGACGTACCCGGTATCCTCTTTGACGGTACGGCCTACGAATTGGAACTGATATCGGCATCCGACGTCGAAACCATTGCCAGCCAGGTTCGTGTCGACAAGAAATTTTCCGATTTTGCGACCCGTGTCAATAAAGTTTGCAGGGGGCATGGATCCTGTGCCAAGATACCAATGGACAAAGACCTTTGGATTGACTTGGAGGATTTTGCCAAAGCCTTCCGCAAGGAAGTGCCCCCAGACGTTTTCATCACCGTCTCAAACCTTTTTGGCACCGCAATGAAAATCGACAAGCATGGCAAGAGTAGGTTCCAATTCTTGTGTGCAAAGATTTCCCATTTTCCTGTTGACAATGGCTTAGGCATGCCGTATTATCCTGTGAAAATTCGTGCAATTCAGGGTCATTCCCAAGCTGCCTTGAAAACCGCCGGGGGTCTTTATGCCAATTCAACCATGGTGTATTGCTCAGACCAAGTCTCCCCCGAGCGAAAAGCCGCCTTCACTGGCGTGCCCTTGTGTGCAATGACTGAGGTCCCTGAAACTGTTTTTCATCGCACGATGAGAAGCAGTTGGAAGAGCATCGCACAGAACGGCCTGATCCCAGGTGGCGGTGACTCAGTCAACAGTGGCCGTGCTCACATCTACATGGCAGAACACTGCATCGGCACACAGGGATATCGATCTGGATTGAGAGCAAAATGTCCAGTCGAAATCAAAATCGCAATGCGGCAAGCAGTTGAAGCCGGTGTCATCTTTAGTCGCACAGAAATGGATGGTATTTTGTGTTCAGAACGCATCCCACCCCAATTTCTGGTCAGCATCTCAGAGGATGGAAAGGTGCTTTGGTCCCGCGCCGAGAGCAATCTCGAGCCCAGCACATGGACAGGCGCGGAACCAGCTTCATCACCGAAATCCAGAACGGTCACCTTGACTGCCCGAGATGATGCAAATGACGACCCAATGGATGACACCAGCACGGGGCGACCCGATGCCAAATCCACAGCCGATGATGCCGCCACTGACCCAATGCAAGTTGACCAGCCGCCCGCGAGGGCGCGCCGTGTTTACGTTGCACCAAAGTACTGCGAACCTTTCATGGGCTCCTGCCCCCTCTGTCAGGTCAAGTACGTCAGTGGCCAAGTGACATGCACCACATGTGGATATGAGCCACTCCCAGTGGGCGAAAGTGGCGAAACAAAAGGGGCCGACCAACCCAATAGGAGGACCCGCATCTTGGAAAGGCGAATGCAGAGTCTCGCCGGGTTCGGAATGTTTGGCAAAATGAGCGGCACCCTGTTGACGGCATTGACCAGTGAACAAGCCGATCTTCTTCGCCGGGAACTGGGCCCAAGGGGGATTACATCCATTGAATCAGCAGTCCTCAAAGACTGCCGCGACAGACACAAACGTGCAAAGACACTTGGCTATGAAGACGTGGAAGATCGCTATGCAAGTGACGTTACGTTTTGTGACCGCGTTCATGGAGAAGGGAAGGGCTTAAAGGAATGTATTTTTGACGATATGTTCGCGTATGCCAATCTTCCAGATCCGCCCCGCACCAGAGCCCAGATCTCGGCTGGCGTCGCCGCCAATGCCCAAAATGAAAATTGCTTGTCAAAGTTGATTTTCATGTCCCAACCTAGAGGTGTGGAAGGATTCCCCGTTGAATACCGCAAGACATGGAAGAAGACTTGGGGTTTCATGTTCGGCCGCCACATTTTTACAGAAGATGAATATGTCAACTACATCGGCCGTCGTGGCGCATTTCGTGGCCTGCTGACCTGGAAGGGCACCGTCCAAGTCCCTTTTGATGGCACTCTTGAGTTCCTCGAAAAGCTGTATGAGGAAAACCTCCCATTGGTTCGGGGCAACCTTGAACGCAAGGAGAAACAGAGCGCCGCTGCAAAGGCTGGAGGTCCTGGAGGTCAAAAGGCCGACCCCACGGTCGCGCCCACAGTTGAGCGAAAACGCAAAGCCGAAGTTGACGCATCTGCCACTGGACATGATGACACAGCCGCCTCAAGCTCCGCTCACGCGGACGCCTCGCACGTTGATGCCTCATTTGGTCCCAAAGCAGCACCATTTCTTGCACCAGAACCACCAACACCCAAAGGAGGAGCACGACCATTCTTGGAGCCTGAGACACCGCCCACTGCAAAAGCAGCAAGCACAGTCGCACCAAAGGCTACAAGCTCCGGTCGCCCGGATGCCTCTTGGAGTTGGAATCGTGATCACTATGGTGCACGCCGTGAATGGAGTTTCTGGCGTGGGGCTTGGTATTACCGTGACGAGGCCGGCGGCCGTTGGATCTATTGGAACCGCGGGTAGACGATGATTTTCTTTTGTAGCATAGCGCAAGATGCGGCATGGTAATGTGCCTTCCTTGCAACGCTGCGCTGGGTTTTACGGGCTTGAGCTTTTAGAGGGACCTTTGAAAGACTGCATAAAAAATTCTAAAACCAAATAAAGAAATTTGGCTACCCGCGAGGGTATGCTCTTCTGGGTTATTCGTTCTCCGCAGTCGTCCCTGCTCGCCCGAGGGGGGTGTAAAAACTCCTGCAGTAAAACCATGTAGTGTATATATCATCGATCTACTCTGTAGCGTTGGTTCAAAAGTATCAGCTGCTTACCGGTTCTTGCCCCAATATAGCATTTGTATTATATTGTTGGCTGACCTTGTAAAATACAGAATCTTTTCGCAGTGCATGATTTGTCACATGCCCGGCACTTCATCTTTGGAGTGCTATTGCGTGGTGTTACAAGGAGGCCTGTTGATGATCATCTCAAGATTCTCAAGCGGGTATATAGAGATGTTTTTTTTGTGGTTCGGGGGACTGAACAACACACTGGCACACTTCACTACATTACTCAAGCCCCAAAAGGCCTGGCATTGGAGTGGCTCTGACATGCTTTGTCTTCCCCTGCGCTCAAGTCCGGAGTGTCCCCACGCTGCCTCGTGCTGTGTCGCACATGTTCGTGTTAGCTGTCCCAGCCAGCTGCGGCAAGCTAAATGCTCAGTTTTCGTGGAAAGCAATAGTGATCAAATAGTGGGTAGGCATACAGGAAAAACACCAGCAACGAAATATCCATTGTGTGACGTGCGCTTCTAAGCAAAAACTCAATGCATGCTGGATGTTTAGCAGCCCACGGTTTGCCCTCTTATATAAATCCCCGAAAGATTCTCGTGTTCTATCTGCTTTCAGTTCTGGAAAGACAACTTTGTGACTACATGACATTTCCAATCGAATTGGGAATCGTCGAAGACATGCGACATTCACAGCTCAAGATACTGGAACATGTTTCGAAACTCCTTTCGACTCCGCACCCATCCCTCGCGGTAGGCCTGGAGAGTGCTACGAGATTTCAGTGGGCGGAACTTTTGACCAGGACCAGAGACGCTTCCTAAACTCGGTGCTCCCCACTCGTATGTATGACTTGCAGGCAGAGGGGTATGTGCTGTCTATTAAGTGCATGGTTGCAAACACAACCGTTGCTGCCACGACCACAGTCAGCACCACTTCTGCACTAGTTCCGACACAGACAACAACGACTACAACCACAGCTGGTGCAACCACACGTGCTGCCACGACCACTGTCAGCACCACTTCTGCACTAGTTCCGACACAGACAACAACGACTACAACAACGACCACTGCAACTATCTCCAGTAGTAGATCATCGTTGAGGTCGACTGCCACAACTGCCACAACGACATCTGGGACGTTAGGCAAGGCTTTGGATTGATAATCACACAAATGCATGACATGTTTTAACTGTGGTTGAATAGATTGCTTTTGGTTTTGTCAAAATAACGAAGACAGTGCTTGTCTTGCGCATGTTTGCACCCGGGTGGTGTGGGGTGCAGTAAGACGTTCGCAACTGTATGCGCTACTGGTGCATACTGATGCTACGTGTTGAAACTTGCACCCACAACTGATGCTATGATGCGATTGGGTGGGTTGGGTTCAAGTGGGTTGAGTTTTCAATGTCCACTCCAAGATGCACACACAGATTTATCTTAAGCCTTTGAACTTGCACACCCAACTTGCGCCGAGCTTTCAACTTGCACAATCGTGTAGAAACCATGAACTCAAGGAAATGCACAGTGTTGCTCACTGACCTTGCTATTCTGCATGAGACGCTTGGCACCCAACAACCATGTCTAAAGCCGGCGAAACAGAGGCAAAACACGAAGATATATATTATGTAGTATACAGATATACGACAAATCAAATCGATTTTACCCTTTTTGCTGTGAGCCAATTGAGTTCTGGGCCAGAGAGTTTTTTTTTTTTGCGAAACGTGATTGTCATGAGCGCAATTTATGCTATCTCGGGTTGCTTTTTCCGTTTTGCTTTATTTTCGGCAATGCGGGCTGTTTCAGTTCTGGACACTTTCTGTTGAGGCTTAAAGCATTCGCGTGTCTCTCAAACTGTTCCGATCTCAAAGATTTGACTTTCTATTCGTGCTGTCCGCTGATGTGGGTGCAGGGAAGGGATATGTATCGTTTTTTGTTGCGTTATGTGGTTGTTTTGCCGTCTCTGCTGCTTAGCTTTTTTGCCTTCTTGAGCCTTCTTGCTTTTTTCTGCCTTGTTGCTGTCTGCATTTTTTCAAACTTTTCTTTGTTTCGTTGCCTTCATATGCCTTTAGCCTTCATTCTATTTTGCTTCATAGATTCTATGCTTTCCTGTTCCTTTGCTTTTGTGCTTTACTGTCCTACTTGTCTTTCTTGTGCTACTATGCTGTCATGTTTTCCTGCTTTTGTTCTTTGCTTTTTTTCTCTATTATTTCAAATTCTAAGACGTTGCAAACGTTCCAAGTTTCATGTTCATGGGGGTTTGATCTTGAGAACGTTGTAAATACACTGGACAATGAAAGGTTTGAGCTCCGAAATGCTGCAAATACGACACACGAAGACAGAAGAGTAGGGGAATCGATTCAACAATGATGTAACGACAGCAGAACATGTCAGGTTTGAGTTCCAAAATGCTGGAGATATTTTCTGATATTTTCCGCAGAGAGACACAACAGCAAGGTTTTCAAATTCAAGAATGATGCAAATACCGGTGACAATGCTGCAAAAAGATGGAGGATGAACGGTTTGATTTCCAAAATGTTGCAAACACCTGAAACGTGTTGCGACGACCGCTCAAATATTATGCAAAATGCGAAACCCGCACCCAACAACCAAAAAGAAAAACAAGGAAACACGAACAAAAACCAACTACGAGCTATTACTACAACAAGAACAACAAGAGCAGGAAGAACTTAAGAATGGAAAGAAAAGAAATGACAAGAAAAACAGGAAGAACAGGAAGAAGAACAAGAAGGAGAATAAGAATAAGAAGAAAGAGAAGCAGAAGCAGAAGCAGAAGACGAGGAAGAACAAAAAAACATGTTGTTTCTGCGTTACTTTGGGGAGGCGCTGCGCCCCCGTATGCCTGGGGTGCAAGGTGTGAAGTCTGAGGTGAGCATCTCATTTTGACCTCATGTCCGTAACACAATGGGAAAACATTTTTTTGCATATCCGGTCTGCTAGGTAGTACAATAGTGAATAGAATATACCCATGTTACATCCCGTTGTTTGCAGTAGAAACTCTTGCATGCATTGGCAGTTCATTCAAACTCTGACTTCAACACGTTGTCATTTGCAGTTGCCATGACATGCATGTACAGTTGAATCATACATATATCCACACGCGTTTCGCTTTCAAGGAAAAGAATCATGGTAGCGGAGCCCTAGCCAATGTGCAGGGCATCCGATCTAGGACCTAGGTTGTTAGGTAGCTTCTGTCTTTAGGACATGGCTTCACTGACTCCAGATGACATTTCCAGATTGGTGCAAGCAGCTAGCGATGCAGCTCAGGCAGCCAGTGATGCAGCCCAAGCTCTACGAGATCAACAGCAGTCCAGGTCAAGCGTTTCGAAGTTTCATGAGGCATCAAAGGTTGTTAGACAGCCTGATCCCTTTGGCTCAGAGGTCCATGACACAGACTTGAACAACTGGCAAGATTTTAGCACAAATTTTCGAGCATGGTTGTTCTACGCCAACCCCAGCTTTGAGTTAGATTTGCACAGGATTGAAGTCACCCATGCTGACCAGCCCATTGTGAACGTTACAGGTGAACCTGCTGAGACTCAGGATCGTTGCAGTCAACTGTATAGCGTTCTCACTGGATTGTTGCGCGGGAAGCCACTTAGAATGCTGAGGCAAGTTGAAGGCAGAAATGGATTTGAAGTTTGGCGTCAACTGGTGCAGTTGTTTCAGCCAAAGACCAAGTCTCGAGCCATCTCTACACTTAGCGCTTTGATGAACATCCCTGGATTCACTCAGAAAGACCGTACTCTGCTTGACCACATTCTTGGATTGGAAAGACTGCGCGCTGAGTATGTTAGAGCAAGTGGATCCGACATTGCCGACGACATCATGCTTTCTGTTTTGGTGCGTGCTTTGCCAAAGGCCATTCAGCAGCACATTCAGTTGCAGATGAACGAGAACTCCACATATGCTCAAGTGCGTTCCTTGGTTGTTGGATATGAAAAGACAACAACAAGTTGGTCTACCACAAAGATACATAGCGAGTTAGGCATTTTGCCTGTTTCCTCAAGTGTTTCCACCTCAAATTATGATGGTGTAGCCCCAATGGAAGTTGATCGTTTTGAAAAAGGGAAATCCAAAGGAAAACAGAAGGGAAAATCAAAGAGTAAAGACCCACAAAAGGGTAAAGGGAAATCAAAGAGCGACAAGGGCAAAGGCAAAGGTGGGAAACCATCTCAGCGCAGTGCCACTTCAAGTGACCAATGTCTTCATTGGGGAAAATATGGACATTTCAAGCGTGATTGCTGGAAGCTTCATGGCAAACCTGATGGGAAGAGCGTGAATCAAATTTCTGGTGGTGATCAGCAAGCTTCTCCACCTGCTGCTAGTTCTTCTGGTGCCAGCACTGTTTCTAGCATGCCGCCTTCGGCTTCTGTGCGTTTGGTGACCTGCCCTGAGCCCTTGATTGAAGAGCTCTCTTCAGATGCTCTGAGACCGAGCTTCATGATCTGACAGTGATTGATAGCTATGGTGGTTTCTGCAACATGGTTTCACAGCACGATGCATTGGACTCCACTGACCTTTCAGCTTCATGTGCATATACAGAGTGTTGTGAACATTTTGACATTGCATATTCAGACTTTGATGATGACTGGACTTATTATGATGAACAATGCATGTTGTCTGAAGATTTGCATGAGGATGTTTGCAATTTTCACTGTATTAGAGCGTTTTGTTTTTCAGAACCCAAAAGCGTGGAGGTGGTATTGGACTCAGGGGCCGACGGCTCAGTCCTCCCCTTGGAGTATGCCAATGTTGGATGTGTTGACAAAAGTTTTGATGGTTCATCATATATAGATGCACAAAGGAAACCAATTCAGTCAATGGTGCAAGGATTGCAGAAGTACGTTTTGGCCCTGTTGTTTTTCGTGAGCGTTTTATTATAGCAGCTGTCACTTCTCCTTTGATTTCAGTGGGAAGGTTGTTGGAAGATGGATGGCATTTGCAGAATGAGGGTGATGGAACCATGAACCGTGTCAGAAAGCATAGGCACATACCAGTTCACTTCAAGCGCAACTCTTTGTGTGCCACTGGAGTGATACGCATGCTGACAGAGAACACTGACGTTTCATCATCAACTTCCTCATCTTCTGGCCAGGTGCAGTCTGCAGGACATGTGAGAGCCCTCACTTTGGGCAGAGCTTTGACAGGCATGGGACAAGGTTGGATTCAATTGAGTGAGAATGTTTTTGGTCTTCGAAGTATTTCTCCAAATCATGTTGACACAACTTACTGTCCTAGTAGCGGTTTGCTTTGGCTGCGTACAACTTTGATCAAGGGTGATGATGGTGAATGGGAACTGGAGGAATTTGGACAGATATTGCTGAATTACCTACCCACCATGGTTGGACCGTTCAACACTGAGAAGCGCGTGGTGGAATCTATCACTATTGCTCACACCTCCATGGTTCCTCCTGAACATCTTGGTTTTTCAGTATCTGATGACATCGTTGCTCCAAGATCTGGAATCCCTGTCAGGCCACTTCAACCAGCTGATGGACTTGAACCTGCAGAGCAACCTGACGTTGATGTGATACCAGCTGCAGAGGACGCAGAGCCCCCAGTTGAAGCAAGAGAAGATGGCATGGAGCACCATGAAGTTTGGGTTGATGGTGTTAAACTCGACACCAATTCACCTTTGAGGACCTTGAGAGCTGCGTGTGACTCCTTGGGTCTTAGCAAAACTGGAGGCAAGAGCAAGTGCTTGAAACGACTTTGGAATCATCTTCAAGCCCAGGAATTGTTAGCCGCACATGCTGCACATCATCAGCTTCAAAGTGAGATAGCAAGACCTGTTTATTCACAACCCGTGCCAGATGAGCCTTCAGCTGAAGAACAAGCAAGGCATAGCCTTACACACCAGCCGTTTGTGCCCTGGTGTGAGCTTTGTGTTGTACACCGTGCTGTTCAAGATCCACACAAAGAGCAAGATCATTCAACTACTTCACATTCATGTGTCTCTTTCGACTTTGGATATTCTTCGAGACTTGCTGGTGAAGATACTTCATGTGCACTGTGTATTCATGACCGAGATACTGGCGCTATGCATGTGATTCCTACTCCTGCCAAAGGAGGTCGTTATCTCAACTATCTTTGCACAGAGTTTTGCAGATTTCTGGTTTGGCTTGGACACACAACAGTTGGTTTGAAATGTGATCAAGAGCCATCAACACTTTCTTTGCTTGAGGCCGTGAAGAAAACCTGCCGTGGACTGGGTATTCAGACCATAACAGAAACTGTGCCACCGGGAAGTCATGCATCCAATGGTTCAGCTGAAGTGACTGTGAAGGTGATCAGACAGCAGGCCAACATTCTCATCGACCAGTTGGAGAAAGGTTGTGGACTTGGACAAACAATTGGCCGTCATCATCCTCTTTACCATTGGGCACTTTTACATAGCTCCTGGTTGCACAATCGTTTTGTTATTAGAAAGGGTTCAACAGCCTATGAACTTTGCGCCAACAAAATGTATACAGGACGTTTGGCACTTTTTGGTGAGAGTGTTTTGGGATTTTTGCAAAGAACTACAAAGGGTTCACCGCAGTGGACACGTGGAATCTGGTTGGGGAAAACTATGAGTAATGACGTACATATCATAGCAGTTTCTGGCAGTACACAGCTTTTTGTGACAAGGAGCGTGAGACGTTCCCAAAGCCGTGGAATATGGATGGAATAGCAAGTGTGGAAGCTTGTCCTTGGAGTTTTGGTTATGCCTCTTTAGGTTCACAACTCGTTCTGGCCAAGCGTATATCTGCACCACCTATTCTTTCTCTTCCTGAAGTCAAACCAAGGGATTTGGATGCTGAGGCAGTGATGAACTTGCCCCCAACTCCTGTTGAGCAAGAGGATGGTCCTCAACCTACCAGACCAGTTGCTGCAGTTGCTCCGCCAGTTTCCAGCGTTTTAGCTCCTGATGTTTTTGCAGGTGAGCTGAGGCGGGGATCCCACTTTCAGTTGGACTGGAAGTGCCAAGCACTCCCATGACACCAGCTCCTTTGCCATTGGCAATGCCAAGCAGTTCTGAGCCTAGCAGTGCTTCAGGCCATGCAGGGACCTCACTGCCTGCTTCTGGAGTACATGGACGTGAAGGTGCAAGTGATGTTGATGAGGCCAATAGGCCGACAAAACAGGCACGTATCATGGCAGTCTTCGAACATGAGGATGACATGCATCCTTTGCATTTTCAGGATGGTGATGTTGACACCTTGGAGTTGTACGAGTATGAGATGGAGGAAGAAAGTTGTGAAGGTGCAGCAACTGATGTTGCATCTGACAATGTTCTCAAGCGTTTGAGTGTTCCTCATAGCACTTTTGAGCCTGAACTAGATCCATCTACACATCTCCAATTGGATCTTTTAGCAGATGAACTTGAAATCAGCCGCCTGAAGGCGATGGGTGTGCTGATCCCAGCTGAGAGCTACGATGTTGCGGGCCAAACACCGAAGAAATTCACTACCAGAATGGTGAGGACATGGAGGGACAAACATTTGGATGGAGAACATGTTTGGCTGCGTAGGTCACGCTACGTTGCCAGAGAATATGCATGGCTTTCACCTGAGAGGCAAGGCTTATTCTCTCCAGCTTCCTCTGTCCTTACAGTTCGACTTCTTCCATGTTTGTTCATGAAATGGAAAATGGATGACTACGTTTTATGCTCCATAGACATCACTGATGCTTTTCTCATGGTCGATCAGCGTGAACTGACACAGGTGGTTGTGTGTAGATGCTGGTGGAAATGTCTCCCACTACATACTTGGCAAGGTGTTGCCAGGACAGCGCAATGGATCTCAGATGTGGCATGAAAGTTTCAGTTCCTTCTTGCGTGAGGACCTGAAGATTGTGGAATGTGCCGCATACCCGTGTTTGCTGAGAAGTGAGACCACAGAAAACCATGGAAGGCCAGCATGCTTACTGCTCCTACATGTTGACGATGTTCTTTGTTTGTGCAGGCGCTCCTACCTTGAGAGCGTGTTACTTCCAGCCCTGAAGGCGCGCTACAAAATCTCTCACCAGATGATGGCTGTCGAGGGTGATGAACTCACATTTTTGAAGCGTCGTCACATGCTGATGAATGAGTTTGAGCTTGCAATCCAGAGCCACCCCAAGCATCTTGAGAAACTCTTTGAACTTCTGAAGATTGGCCGAGGTTTGAAACCAAAGAAAACGCCAGTGCACCCTATGCTGGATGAGGATGACAAAACCGAGATGTTGGACAACCAGCAGGCCAGTATCTACCGCTCTTGCATTGGTATTCTTCTTTATGTGACCAGTGACTTTGTGGAATGTCAATATGCTATTCGAGGCCTTTCTCAGTCAATGTCTAAGCCGACAAAGCAGTCCATGGAATGTTTGAGATATCTCTGCACTTATCTTCTAGGTTGCACAGACCAGTGCCTGATGCTGAAGTACGAGAGCCACCAAGGACTTTTGCATTACAACCCTGAAGATTATACTCTTGAGATATTTAGCGATAGTGACTGGGCAAAACATAGAACTACACGACGTTCAGTGAGTGCAGGATACCTTTTCATGTTTGGAAACCTCTTGTATTCTTCTTCAAGGAGCCAGAAAGCTTTAGCTCTTTCAAGCTGTGAAGCAGAAGTTTATGCAGGTACGTCAGCTACGAACGATGCGGTTCTCATGTACCACTGCATATGTTTTTGTGTTGGCCCCAATGAAACAGTGAAAGTCAAGCTCACACTTGACAATGCTGCTGGAAGAAGTTTCTTCCACCGTTCGGGTGTTGGACGGATCAGGCACATCAGTTTGCGTGTGCTGTGGATGCAACAGAAGGTGCGGGAAAAGTTTCTTTCAGTTGGGCCTGTTAGTACAAAACATAACCCAAGTGACCTGGGTACCAAAAGGTTGAACAGAGATCGCATGCTTTATTTGATGTTTCTTTGCAAGGTCTATGACCTAAGTACTTCACAGTACGTTGGCTCTGAAGTGAATGACAGGTTGGAACAAGAAACGGTGACACGTAAAGGTATCAAACTTTTCACACTTGCGGGAATGAACAATCATGATGCAAAGGCTTTGATGAGAGTTATGTTAATCAGCGCCTTGAGCCTTACTCCTGCCACCGCTTCTCCAGCAGAACCAATGGTGGTGGATGGAAGCTATTTTGGCTTCTTCTTTGCGGTGATCGTCACCATTTTGTGCATCACACTGGGATACATAGCTGTGCTCAGGAAAGAACTTCGAGCTGCGCGGAGAGAAGACTCAGTTTGAGTGGAATGGCGCTTTGACAAAGGTGCTGAAGCTTTTGAAAGGAGCGAAAACTGAGAACAAGCAAAAGGAGGCCATCAAGACCAATGTTGAAGGTGCCGAAGAAGAAAAGGGAACAGACGACCAAAGCGTTGGAGAGACACCACAAGAACGCTTCGAAAGATACAGCCAAAGCACCTTGGACGAAGTGTCCGATCCAGGACTTTGGCAGCTTTGGCACCATGGAACTCCTAGCGCTACTGATGAGCCTTCTGCCCATCGACAATATGCAGATGGACACATAGAGCAGATGATGAAGGACACCAATGACATCTTGCGCAGACATCTTCGAAGGTTGGAAGCTGAGTATGACGCAGCATCAGATGCCAACGACATCAATCTGATGCACCAGCTGGACTCCCAGATCACCGAGTGCAATGGCCTTATGTATAACATGGGCTAGTTAAGCAACTCTTGGATGAGATGTGATGCTTTAGCATTGGTGAGCAGATCTCGCAATCAATGCACGAGTTTTTAACTGAGACGAAAGCCTTTGGACGACTTGCAACTGAGCCCAATAGCCTTGAGGCACTAGCCGAGTGTCTGCAGTTTGCAATTTGAAAGTAACAACCAAAGGTCAAAGACCAGTGGTTGAGGCGGGGTGAATAGAATTTACCCATGTTACATCCCGTTGTTTGCAGTAGAAACTCTTGCATGCATTGGCAGTTCATTCAAACTCTGGCTTCAACACGTTGTCATTTGCAGTTGCCATGACATGCATGTACAGTTGAATCATACATATATCCACAGGCGTTTTGCTTTCAAGGAAAAGAATCAAATAGTAATGTTCCAATCTAAGCCCAAAAAAGGATCCATTCCCCAAAAAAAAGTCCGCATCCAACCATTACATGAACCAGATTTTCCTGGAATGGTAGGGTCAGGGTAACTACCCTTCAATCAAGGGGGATGTTAATTCAAATGGCTCGGAAACTGAAGATGGTTCTGTTTGCGGACCGAAGCCGTGTCAAGATGCGTGTCTTTTTGGAGGGGTGGGCTAGTAAACTGCACAGCCATGTAGAATCCATTGCAAATTAGATAGCGAGGCATAGCAGAGAAAAAGCTGGTGTCAAACGGGAACAATCGACTCTGCTACAGGGAAAGATTAATAGCTTCAATGCTCAAGCCATCAGCTGAAAAAATCCGATGAACGTATTTGAAAAACTGAGGCGAAAACAAGCGAATTGCCAAAAAGTGATGTGAACGAATGGCTGTTCTTGCGGTGCATTGCCTGTTGTTTCATGTGATTATTACAAGCGCGGTTTTTGGTCCACAGGTTGCTTTTACAGCTTAGTTTTTGGCAATACAAGCAGTTCCTGGTTGGTCTTGTTGAGGCTTAGCAATTGCCCGTGTCCAAGTTTTTGCCAAAGGGTCAATTTCTGAATTTCATTTAAGCTGAACATTTTGTGAATCCAAGAGTGGTTCCTTTGTCAGCCGAGTTCTATAACCAGTGCTTAAATCGCTTCAGTCTTAGCTGA